CCTATCTTGTTCCTATCAAAAGTTATTCTAAAAATACTCACCCTTTTTTTTTATTTTGAAACCAATATTAGTTCAATGTCGGATCGAGCTAGTGAAAATTTTCTTTTCCATCCAACATTGGACTATTCCAACGTGAGAATCCGAGATTAGTCAAGGCGTATCTGAGATTAGACTAAATCGAATATTGAACGCTAATATATACACTAGTGCAGGTTGTGTGACAGTATGGATGTGCATGACGTTGACTATGATAGCAGCTAAATCCACTCCCAAATCCCTCCACATTCTATCCATAAATTGATTAGCTCACACTTCGTTTGTTGACCATTTTTATGCTTTTGCATTGTATAGACACAAAGACTGAACCCCTCAAATTTGTAATGCATATAAGTAGTGTTGAAAAATATCAATGAACTGTTCCAGGAGAATAGACGAATAAAGTTCGTTTTCAAGATATGAAAGAGATCTCTATACAAAATACTTTTGAATATTATTATTTTCTACAGTCAAATATACTTGTTGATTTATTCATGTTTATTAATGTATAGATACTGAAGTATATGTTGTATACAAGCGACTGACACTTCTTTATCCATCAAAAAGTTGTGTAGAAAAGAACAGTCAAAACATAACTTGAAGAAAAAAAATGTGAGTCATTTTATCATATTTTTCTCAAGTTGCAGCTTTTTAAAGCAGATATGCCGATTATTAGCATGTGATGGTGAAATTATGATTGATATCTTTAGCCATTTTTGCTCGTATTCTTTTAACTTGAGATATTTTGCATACTTTTATATAAGACGTGGAATATTACATACGTCTTTTTCATACGCACATTAAAGCAAGTTCGGTGAATGGCTAGCAGTAAAATTTCATCGAACGATACTCAAGATGTGCAACAAAATGATTCGAATCAAACACAAGTTACTATTGAACAGAAGACAGCGGAAGCCATTGCAGCTAATGGAAAATTTCCGTCTACTATTTCTATCATTTCACCACCGAAGCAAGAAAACAATACGCATGAACTATCCCGTGATCCTCCAGATATTTATCCAGAAGCCAGATGTTTGATGTTCTTTCCAACATCTGGTTGTATGGGCTTTGAAAAGGTCAAAGTATCAAAAGAGTTGCCTCCAATTGAGATCTTACGCGAGATGATTGCTTATGAAACAAGCATTCGATTATCGGATCCAATTCAAGAGCTAATGGACGTTTATCACAAAGATGAGTCTGCATTGAGGTAAGTTCTATTGTTATATTTATTTTCATTTTTTAAACTGATCTTTATTATAAAATTGAAGATTGATACTCGATCTCATTCAACAACATGTTGTGGAACATTTTGAATATAATGATTTTAATGCATTACGTACTGCTTTATATCGATTTCCGGATGATCCAGCAGTAAAATCAGCTTTTTATAGTAAGTCATAGCAAGAATCAGAAATTAAAGCGCTTCACAAGCATACAGTTTTTGAAACTAAAGTCATGACTTTTTTTTTCTTATGTTCACAATATTGCATTTCTTAATTTCTAGTAAAGCACAACAAAGTTACACAAGGTCTAATCAATCAAGGTCAGTATGCACATGATGTCGAATTGTATACTACAGATGGTCAACGCACAAATCTATTCTCTCAAATTACAGTGGGTCAACCATTAATTATTTTAGCTGGCTCAACTAGCTGACCTCCATTTCGGGCGTCTGCTGAGCGAATTAAGTAGATATTTTTGATATTATATAACAGTATAATTTTTATCTATCTAATTTAGCGCGCTATTTCGCTCGCATGCGTCTGCTGGTTTGTGTTTCTTGGTAGTTTACATTGCCGAGGCACATGCTCGTGATCAATGGCCTATGGGAAAAATTATATCATGTGTGAATCAGCCCAGTACACTCGAACAACGCCTTGAAAATGCTCGAAAATGTCAGAAGGATTGCAAATTTGAAGCACCCATGCTTGTAGATAGTATGAATAATACTTTTCATCTTACATATGGATCATGGCCTTTTCGTTTCTATGTTATTCACGATGGAAAACTTGTCCTGAAAGCAGAACCAGACAAGGATACCTTCAGCTATCATATCGATGAACTTGATCAATGGATTGACAATTTCTGTCAATCATGTCATCCAGTTGCTTAGATTTTTGTTCATTCAAATACCATTCATTGTTTGCTTTCTTATTTCCGTTATCTTCTTTTTTCTGTTTATTCATCAATTCGATGGTCCTCAATAATTGAATTCAGCATGAACTTATGATGACTGTGTGATGAAATCCCATTAGTGAATGTCCACAGTTTGATTTCAATATGCTGTTTTCTAAGAGGAAATTTGCGCGTAAATCTCTGTTGAATTGATGAGTCAAGCTAAAACAATGTAGGACAGAAGTAGAATCATTCATATGTTTGTGTATCGTATGGAGTTTTTTTGTCAATAAAAGCATGTTATTTAAAAGTGAAATGAAATCACAAGAAACTTATTTGAAATTTTTACATTAATACAATTGTGAGAAATAAAGGAAATAAAATATTGCTATAAATTATTCTCATCAATTCCAGAATAAAGAAATAATAGTTGAATTTCATTGAAAAAAATTGAATTTTGCAACTCTTTATTCAATATTATTATTTATTCAGATAGTTTCATACAAAAACACATAATAATAAAAATCTTCTCAATATATGAGTCGAATTCGAATGATTCTCTCAAGATATGCTTTCTATGTATACATATATCAAGTAAAAGCTCATTGAAAACAAAATTGTTCAGTATTGTTTACTCTTTATGAAATTATAGTAAAATGCATTGAAAATATACATATCTTATGAACTTTGAAAAAGAAAATCAAATTAATTTTTACATAAAAGATTATGTTTATGATTAAATAGTAATGCTTTTTTGTGTCCTATTAAAAATGAATGCATCATTATTATCTATTACTAAGAATCATTCATTTTGTTTTTTATTCCATTCTTTAGAATCATAACTAAAAAAAAAAGAAACTTATTCACTCTACAATATTTGCCATGATTCATCAGGTTTTATCTGATGTATTTTTTTGCTATCACAAAATAAATAGAAAAAGAAAAACTTGAATTATCCTATACTGACTGTAAAATTGACTGCTTTAGCGAAGAACGAATGACGGTAGAAAGTGACGAACGATTCGTTCAAGGTCGTTCGATTTCATTACTTTTGTTTATGTATATATACGTATATACATATATACAACATATGAAAATGAAACACCATATTTTATACTTTCTATTCTCATAAGAAAATACAAATCAACATAATGCCAATTGGTACGCTTCAAGTAATTATTGTTGAAGGATGTGATCTTAAAGATCGGGATCTTGTTGGTCAAAATGATGTCTATGTATAGAAATTTATTTGGATAAAAAATATAAACAACGATTTCGAATTCAAATCATCCAATATGAGATGAATGTTTTACATTTAATCTTCAAAAAGATGATGATACAATTTATTTTAATGTTTATGATACTGATATTGGTGATCGAAATTCAATTAGTATTGGTAAATTTAAATGGAAACATGTTTTTGATGAATGGGTAAAATTACCAGCTAAATTAGATTTATCATCTCATGGAGAAATTCATGTTATTATGAATTTTATAGGAAGTTTTTTTTGAGAAAGCATTATTTATTGTTAAATTATATCTATTTAATTTTAGTCGGCTTAATATTCACAATCTAATCAATAATGAAAAATTTTCTAAATGTTTGTAAATTATTCCTTTTTTTGTACGTGTGTGAAGTATTCAAGAAAATTGTTCATTAACAAAATCGAGTCTTTTTTTTGCCTAGTAGTCAAAATAAAAATCCATGTATTGAAATAACATGTTACAGCTTCTGTTATGTCTTCATTCTTGCTTATTGAGACACATTCTAGTTCAATCATACGACTATGTGAAACTGTAAGAGAAATCAATTCAAAAGAATTATTTATCATTGAGAATAAATATAGTCGTTTCCGTTTTTTTTTTAAAGTAGAATGAATGTAAAACAAAGTGATGCATTAATGATTCTACGAATGGCAAGACTCCGAGATAGAGTTAATTAAGTTAAAAGTATCATGTTGAATAGAAATAATTAGCTCAATAACAAAGAAAATCATATATTCTCTGATAATCTTCGAAAGTTTTTCACTCTATTCAAGTATAAATGAAAAAAGAAAACTATTTTCCATTCTATGCTTTTATGGTCAACATTAAAAGAAAAAAAGTAAATAAAAAAATGTTTCTTGAATCAATACAACAGTATATCAGATACTTTTCTACAATTCTAAGCTAATTAATAAAATAGACTTCGTTTTCAAATATATTCTTGAACTGAATTTAGATAGAATTGCACAAGAAACAGTAAATTTATTTGAAAATTAAAATTTGATAATCAAGTAACAAAGAGAAACAATGAATATTCAAGAAAAAATCTATATGAATGCGAAAAAAATATATATGAAATAAAATATTGAAATTTATGTTTTACTGAGAATCATCAGAATATAATCATGTAAATAAAGATACATTGAATATTCGACGAGCGAAAATAAACAAAAAACCTTTTTTTATGTCATTGAATATAATTAACATGAAGATATTGACGTGCTTTTGAGAATTTTATTGTTATATTTACACATTTGGTTCTGAAGAATTTGATGAATCACTTTTGCTTTGATTCACTGTCTATTAATCAAGAAACGCATTGTTATAATAACATTAATTTTCAAATGAAAAATTACTATGTGTTTCTATCGTATTGTCTTTTTTCACTGATTTAATTGACAATTATAATGTTTTTTAAAGGTTCATTATGAATCTTCGTTTCCTCTTCATTATGAATATGAATACACTCGAAAAACAAAAAAAAGGTTTTTTACCGAACCCCCGAAAAAAGTTCGGTAGATTTGAAAAAGCTTGCAAATGTATTGAAATGCTCAAAAAATGATTTTTCAGTTCTACAGAACCATTAAAGGTTCTTCGATTGGATATACGGGAAGAACCTTTTTTAAGTTCCGTACAGCAAAAATAAGTTGTGTAAAAAAACTACAAAACCTTTAAAGTTTCGTATTAAATTCTAACGGCTTTTTATTAAACACTAATGGTTTCGCCCTAAACCAGTAGAATTTAAAACGAAACTTTAAAGGTTTTGTATTTTTTTACACAGCCTATTTTTGCTGTAAGGAGCTTTAAAAAAGTTCTTGCAATATATCCAGGCGAAGAACTTTTAAAGGTTTCGTAGAACTGAAAAATCGTTTTTTGAGCATTTAAATACATTTGTAAGCGTTTTCAAATCTACTGAACCTTTTTGTTTAGAGTGTAGCATCGTTATATATTTATTGAAAAGTTTAAATTATAACTTTTTTCTTCCCGAATAAGTAAAAGATTAATTAACACTAAAAATATCGAAGAAACTAAAAAATAAAAAAATTCTATAATATTTTGTTTTGAACAAACAGTTTTCAGAATATGAAATATAATACAATTCTTTATATCGAGCAGTCTTTATGTCAACAATAAGTTGAATTTTATCATCACTTAAAACATCTATCATATGTCGATTTTTAAAAAAATGATAATTAGATCTCATTGATATATTTGGTAATTTTTATCATCATAGCCTTGTTTGATGACAAAGTCAATCACATAATAGGAATCACTACAGAAATTGAATCATATACATTTAGCAAAGTTTTTTTCTTTTTCATATAATATGTGATTCAACGTAGCTTTTTGCATTGACTAAAAATAGGATATGATGATAAAAACTACCAAATATGAACATACTTATAGTATTTTTTTTTTGAATTTTTCCAAAAAATAAAACAAAATCTAAAAATATTTAGATAAGTGTGTTTGAAGCGAAGAACAATGTGTAAATACAGTGCAAAACCACGAATTTTGATTTGGAGAGTATTGTCGATTTATTGTTTCATTATCTTTTTTTTTATGACGTCTTCATTTCAATTGTTCCAAAGCGTAAAAAAACAAATTGTTTTAGTTCTCGATCAGATTATGTCTGAACATATGATATAATCTAATGCTCTTATTCAATGGTAGACTCATCTCGATGAGATCTATCACATAATGCTAACAAATCTAGAAAAAAGAAAAGAGAAGATTTATTGCTTTTCGAAATTTTAAAAATAATTCTACGCTGAATATTCCTATGTATATATATTTAAATGATGAAATAGAAATTTCTATTGACTGAAAAGCATAGATCCAGTTTATCTCAGATCAAATTGAATCGATTTTATATAAAAATATCAGATCATTTTCGAGTTGGTTCGATCTCGATCATCTATTTCATAGATTGATTACGGTAAATTTACAATCAAGATTAAATTAAAGTGAATGCTCTAAACAAGTGCTTTTAAAGCAGCCATTTGATTTTAATAATCTTTTCAATAGATCTGCATGCAATGGATCTAGGAAATTTTCAATATGGAACGATTTTCTGAAATAGAGGCGATTATCCTCATAAAACGTCTTTTGAAGCTCTACAGAGGTAGTTTCACCTCAATTGTAAGCTTTTTCCACTAGGAAAACTTGATATTTTACTGTGTCGATATGGAGCGATCGCCCCAAGCGCCCTCCTCCTAAATTCGCCACTGCAATAGATCCAAAGAAAGAAAAATAAAATATGATGTTTCTTTAGCAGGCTTTTTTAAACATATTTTACCTTCACATTTTCAAGCCGACAAAAACAGTAATGAAACTGCATCAGTATGTTTTTGTTTGTTACAATTGTATTTTGAGATAAAATTCAAAATAATATCATGTAATTAACATTACTATCAATTCTTTTTCGTGGAATAACTTCCAAACTTTTACAATTATATCAAATGTGCACTAGAATAATGACGGTTTCTATATTAAATAAAAATAATACCAGCCATATCCTTAATATTTCTACTGATATGATTTGATTATATGTAAACATAGATAAATATGTTTCTGAATATGTTTTTCAATATAAGAGTTTTTCTCGTTCTTACTGTAACACATATTAAAAATATGTGAACTTTAAATGTAAACAAACAATATAATTAATAATTAGAAGCTTTTGTTTGATTGATGCTTCAGTTAGAATTGAATCTATTTATTTTTATTGTTTCATTTCTATTATGAAAATGTTTATTATGATCATAATGAAAACAAGCAAAACGACGACTTCTTTATTGATTTTACGAAGGTAAAGTTAGCACCATATTCGAGTTTTTTGCGTCCGGATTCGCTTTTCGACTTGGG